AAACAAAGTATATGATTTGTTGAATGTAAAACTGATGATCTGCCTTGTAATTGTTCACTCAATTCACAGAAACTTAAAAAAAAAAAAAAAGCATGAAAATCCTTAAATCCTTAGTAAACTATTAATCCAAAATCAAACCCACTGCCATTGAGTCGATGCCAACTCATACTGACAGTTTCATCTTTCTCCTGAGGACAGGTTGGTGGATTTGAACCAGACCTTGCAGTTAGCAGTCCAGCGTCTAACTCACAGACGCGATACAGAAATGCGATATAATGAATAGGTTCAGCTCTTGCTTCCAGTACAGTTTGAGTTACATCAAGCACATTCTAGCTTTCTCATCAAACTTCAAAGGAGCCCTAGTGGTTGAATGTGTTATGCATTGGGCTGCTAACTGCAAGGTCAGCAGTTCCAATCCACCAGCTGCTCCGCAGGAGAACGTTGAGGCTTTCTGCCTCCAGATTTACTGCCTATACAGGGTCCTTATGAATGAGAGTTGACTAGATGGCATACAATCACCACTACCACCTCAAATGTCAAAATCTCACCACCAGGTGCAACTTAGTCTCTCTTAGTCCAAAGAGTGAAGAAAATTGAAGACACATGGAAACAATTAGACCAGAGAACTAATGGATCACGTCAACCTCAGCTTCCACAACCCTGAGACCCAGCCACTATCAATTCCTCTGAAGGGATCACATTAGAACATCCAGGATAGAGTAGGAGAAAACTGTGGGCGGAGACTCAAAATCATAAAAAAAAAAAAAAAAAAAAAGGCCCAGTTTACTGGTTGGATAGAGACTGGTGGAAACCCCAAGATTATGGCCCTTGCTCAGGGTACCCTGCAAGCCTGGAACTGAACCCACTCCATGGACCAACTTTTCAGCCAAACAATAGGTCTATAAGTTGAATAATAACACCACGGAGGCAAGCACTCTTGAAACAAACAACCATTTGATATCAAAAGGGCAGCATCTGCCACAGGACAAAGCTCAGAAGACAAGAAGAAGGAAGGAAGAGGAATGGAAAAGGGAAACACAAGAAGTGGGATGAGTGATGTTACATTGTGGAACTTTGCAATAACAATCTGAAACAAAATCTGTATGAATTGTTGAATGGAAAACAGATTTACTTTGTAAACCTTCACTCAATTCACAATACAAAGTTAAAAGAAAATAAGTAAAAGAGCAACACAAGAGGAAAATCCAAAAACAATACAACAAATACCAGCAAAATATATATGTAGATAAAGGAGTCCTGGTGTGGCCTGTAGGATGAGCACTTAACCACAAGGTTGGTTTTGAACCTTAAGTTCGGCAGTTCAAATTCACCAGCCACTCCTTGGAAATCCTATAGGGGGTGACTATGAGCCAGAACCCACTCAACAGTACTTAACAACATAAAGGTGGTAGGCTTCTGAATGAATTATCTTTTCTACTCTGGTAGCGTAGTGGTTACGAATCGGGCTGTGAACCTTAAGGTCAGCAGTTGGAAACTACCAGCTGTTCCGCAGGAGAAAGAGGAGGCTTTCTGCTCCCGTAAAGATTTCCAGCCTCGGAAACCCTGTACAGGGTCGCTATGAGTCGGAACCAACTCGACGGCACATAACCACCACCACCACTTTTTAAATATTCTTTGATGTGCTTTTACAGTTTAAAATGATAACATATTACATAGGAGTCCTGGTGTGGAACTACAGGATAAGGATTGGACCTAAAGGTCGGTTTGAACTGCAAGATCGGTGGTTCAAATCCACCATCGCCATGAGTCGGAACAGACTCCACGACACTTAACAAATACTTAATTATTAAGAATAAAAGTATACTTGAAAAGATTCTATAAACATTCATTTAAAATTCCACCCCCATAATTTATACCAAAGGGTTCTGTAAAGCATATGTTACAAACAGGTAAACTGTTTATCCCAGGGCTAAAAAGCCAGGTTATACCTGTTAGGTTGGGGCCGGAGTCTCTGGGTGTGAAAGACTTCAAAAGTATAGAAGTACAAAGTACAGGGTTTATTAACTTTCCAAGGGAGGAAAGGGGCCTCGTCCAAGAGAGTAGGGCCGATACTGAGGGTCAGGGTCGGGTGTTTTGGGCTTTTACTGTGGTTTTAGGAGGGAAGGCAAAGGAACGCTGTTTATCAGTGGGGCCAGCAGTTCTACATTTCTGCAATAATAATAAAAAAAAAAGCTCAGTAAACCAGGCTGAGGTCTTACAAGAGTTTAAACACAGCAGCTGAGTCTGTTCAATACCTACCTTGATGCTTTAACAAGTCATTCAGGACCCTACCTCACTACCTGCCTTCTCTTCTCTTTTTCCCTAAAAAGGAAGGACACAATTAAGAATTTCAAAAAAAAAAAAAAAAATCACCAAAACATTTATTCTGAGATTTGAGAATCATGAGACACTGAAGTAATGGGAACTGGATCCTCACTGGGGTCTTCTGGGAAATCAAAAGCACCACCCTCTCCTGCGGCTTGATTCTTCTCCAGTTTGGCAATCAATTCTTTCGCGGGATTGAAGACGCCATTGGTCTGCTGGTCACAGACATAGCAACGTGGGGTGGTGCGGAAATGCTGCAGTGCACAGCTCTCGCAGAAATAATGCCTGCACTTGGTGACAACTGGGTTTTGGAAGGTCTGGCGACAGATGAAACACTTGAATGGTATTTCCTCATCATCGCTTCCCACTTCATAGTTTTCGTCCTCATAGACACCATAGCGACCCTCATCAAGCTCACGTTCGATCTGCCACCCATGCTTGTAATCTGAGCGGTCGTGGAGGAACTTGCAGCTGTCTCCAAAACCGCAGAAGCCGGTCTCCTTGTAGTCCTTACAGATGTCGGGTTGGTAATCCCAGCGCACCGTGGCACGTAGATGCTCGGGAGCTCGTATAGGGCCCTTCCTGACCATCCCGGAGGAGGCATTGCCCATAGATGTATCTTTGGGCTTCATGAATTTCTGATAATTGTTGATTCCCCGATAGATCTTGTCATCTTCCTTGCCCCTCAGCTCCTCCTGGATCTTCTGGCTACGCTCAAAGATGGCTTGTGCGTCACGCTCTTTCTCTGTGTCTAGCTCGTAGACAGCGGTCGCACCCATATCTTCTGGCCCCACGGGTTTCGCTGAGCGGGTGGACTTGTAGACCACGCCTAGACCTTCGGACTCGTTGTCCTCCTCGCTGCTCATTCCATCATAAGCTGCCTTTTGCTTACCGCTGCCACGCGTCTTTTGTATCATTGGGTTGTGGATTGTCCTCTTCTTTTCCGGGCGAACCACAGTGCTGCCTTCCTCACTACTGCTGCTGCTCTCCCCGGAATCTCGATCGCAGACAGGGCGCTTTCTGCGGCCTGCGCCGCCTTTCCGTCCAGGCTTTTTGAAGAGGAAGGTGCATACTTGATCTGTCGTCTTTCCTGGAGAAAGTTGCTCTGCCATCTCAGAGTACTGAGCTCCAAAACAGCTCCAGCATGCGGGGCAGCGCGGGCCGGGTCACGTCACGGCACGCCCTGCGCTCGGCTGAGTGTAGGAGGAAAAGAAGCCGCGGAAAGCCTGGTAAAGAGCACAAAAGCAAAGGCGTGTCCGTGAACATACTTGGGTTCTACCGGACTCCGTCGCGAAGTAGATGACGCAGCCTCGCTGCTGGAGTGCCGCGGAGCTTACCGGGAAGGGAGCTCAAACCAGGTCACCTTTAAGCAGTGTAGAAAAAGGTTCTCCCGAGATGTGGTTCGAGATTCTCCCCGGTGTCGCTGTCATGGCGACTTGTTTGCTCATTCCTGGAGTGGCCACTGCGCATATCCACAAGTTCGCTAACGGGGGCAAGGTAAGGAGGCACCCCTAACCTCGGACCGACTCTGCGTCAGGTGTTCCTAACGGATGGTGGGTTAGGGAGGCCCTAGGATCCGGGTCTTCTCTCCAAGGCAGGGAATACCAAGATCAGCACTCGAGTTTGGCTAAAAGCTTGCGGAATGAAGTCCGACAGAAACCGTATCCTATCCTAGCAAGAAACAGCGAGTTGCTGTTTGGAGAAGGCAGAGTAGGGACTGGGAGATGAGAAGAGGTGGGTCCAAACTCCTAAACTATTAGTTTTGTCCCCACTCCCTCCGGTCTCTAATCTCTATTCTTTTTTGCTCGATTTTGATTATAATTTCCCATGACATTTTTATTTCCCTGTTTTCTCTTGGTAGCGTAGTGGGTTATGTGTTGGGCTGCTAACCGCAAGGTCATCAATTTGAATCTATCAGTTGCTCCACGGGAGAAAGCTGAGGTTTTCTGCTCCCATAAAGATGTACAGCCTCCGAAAGCTCTCTATAGGGTCGCTCGTTGTGAGTCGGAACCGCCTAGATGGCGCCTAGCAGCAGCAGCAGCATCCTCTCTTGCAAGCTTTTAGGAATTACTCTCAAGATACTGTTTATCTCATCAGGTTTAATTTTTTCCACTCTTGTATGTTTTTACATCATCTCAACAATAGAGTAGACGATTATTTACTGACTAGTTTGTTTTTTTATTGTCCTTAACATGTTATCCACTGTTATTATTTCTACTCACTGAAGTCCTGAAAAGCAACGAGGAAACTAGTCTCAAAAAATGAAAAAGAAAGACAGTGATGTAGGTTAAAATAGAAAGGTGTAAGAAATCTTGTTTAGCTTCTTAATTCTAAAGTTTAGCAGTCTGAGTTTTATGAAGGAGAATCTGGGCTTGTGATTTTTTTTTTATATTACAGTAATTGTTCCGTTTTGCTAGTATATTACTTTTGTAAAAAAAAAAACAAAAACAAAAAAACTGTAATATTCATCTAGGAGTCCTGGTATGGCACTGTAGGATAAGCTTTGGACAGCTAATCGCAAGAGCAGCGTTTCAAACTCACCAGTTGCTCCGACTTGATGGCTCTTAGCAACAACAGCAGTTTATATCTATTGGACCAGTCGTCTTTAGAAAGTGCAACAATAATTGTCTTCTATTTGTAGGAGAAAAGAGTTGCCCATTTTCAGTATCAGTGGAGTTTGATGGAAAGAGATAGACGTGTCTCTGGGGTGAATCGTTACTATGTATCAAAGGTAAGATGATCCTGTGAGGGTTGAGGTGGGTTCTGGGAATGCCTTGCCCAAGGTCATAAGCTGGTAAGGAAGGGGTAGAGCCCCTACACTGCTATACTGCCTATCTACTTGGTAGATAGGTTTTTCATGACCTCATTTATCAAAATAAATCAGTAATGCTATTGTCAGCTCCCAAATTGTTTTTGAGATTTTACTGGTCTGTGTAATCCAGAAGACGGAGCAATTGACCTTGAGATTGGTTAGTCACTCAGTTTTACACTCAGCAAATCATATCCTTCGTGTCATCTCAATGATTACAATCCCCCTCCAAGTAACATCATGTTTCCATTCCTCCTCTGTCAGTCCTGGGTTTTGTCCTTAGGTAAATGCTTCCCTTTTCGATCTGGAATGGTTGGCCATTCTCTGGTGTGTGTACTTCACTGGTGGTGTTGTCCTCCCTATTGCTTGGCTAAAAACAGAGCCATGAGGGTGACCTGAAGAGCCATAGTCCCTGGGTTCTTTCAGACTGTAGCTGACCAGTAAGCTTAGTCTTTTTTTTTAAAAAAATTATTTTCAGTTTTAGTCTACATTATCAACCACTCTAAAATCTAGGACGTTCTATAATGTGATCCCTTTCAGATCACTTGGCGTAGTAGCCTGGCCTCTACCCCAGTAGAAGCCAGTAGCACATACCTCCACCCCAAGCTGTGAAAAAGAAAAATATTTTGTTGTTGTTGTTTAAGTGCAAACCATCTGGTTCTTCTGGTCTGAGGGTCGGGTTAGTCACTGTTTTTACGTAAATATTTGATGACTGCTTTCTTGTATAAATGTGTACATTTTTTAACATTGTAAATCTTATAAGTCCCAAAGTTTGATTTAAAAAAAGAAACCAAATAACAGTGACATATATTAGTGAAAGGAAAAGAAAATTGATTATGAAGATTCTCTGTGTACTCAAGTGGGAAATATAGGAGCTTTCATTAGACAAACCTGGATTTGAATCTCTGCTCTACTTAGATATTTTCAGTTTCTCCAGCCCTCTGTTTAAGGATCCCTGGTGGCACTCTAGGATAAGCACTGGACTGCTGGCCACAAGGTCGGCGGTTCGAATCCACCAACTGCTCCTTGAAAGTCTATAAAGGGTCTTGATGAAACAACTACAATAATACATTTTGGATATGAATTCTTCCCACATCAGTACATATAGGTCTATATCAGTGGTTCTCAACTGGTGACGATTTTTTGCCCCTAAAGTACTATTTGGCATCTTGGTGTGGTACTGTGGGATAAAGCACTGGACTGCAAAATCGGTTTGCACTTAAAAACAACAACAAAATATTTTTCTTTTTCACAGCTTGGGGTGGAGGTATGTGCTACTGGCTTCTACTGGGGTAGAGGCCAGAGATGCTATAAAACATCCCTATAATATATATTACAGGCCCCCCCAGCACAGAATTATCTGGCCTAAAATGTCAGTAGTGCCAAGGTGGAGAAATCCTGGTGTACATTCTTTTTATTGTAATATAAAAGCTCCTTCTCCTAAGGAATCATCTAACATTAGCTTTCACATAGACTGTAGCTGAGCACAAGGAGAAATGATAGTGTTGTTTTAACCTCTGACAAATTGTGTGTTATCTTCCTTCATAGCTTAATGGGCTTAATGGGATATTTTCATTTATTTATTTATTTTTATCAAATGATGCTGCAATGAAAATTAAAGCACAGAACTTCTTTAGGCATCTTTGTGGGTTGTTGTTTTTTATTTTAATAACAGTGAATTTCCTGGGAAAGGAGTTAGCAGCTTGGGATGTACCTACACTTGTCAAATCATAGGTGAATTATGATCGTAGGTTAGCAATACAAAAGAAAGTTTGGGGGGTAAAAAGAACAAGGAAAGCATTCTGTGACAATCAATTTGTTACATGGGTCTTACAATGAAGAGCTTTATATGTTTGATTATTTGTGCATTTATGCTTCACAACTTTTAGTAAAATTTATAACAAATACACATGTACACATATGTGTATAGTTTCCCCTCCTGCCTCACTTGTTTGGTCCTCTGTGGATTGAACATCTACAACCATGCTGCTCTGGACTTCCTCCTTGGCTTTGTGTTCTCCAGGCTGACTAGTCTGTGAGTTGCTGGTACTTACCTGTAGGTCTTCTATTCTAGTTTTCTCTGAGCAGTCTGAAATCAGGAACCTTTCTTTCATCGAGAATTCAGAATTGGGCACATGACAGTATTCCAAAAGGAATAGGGTGGGGGCTTGTCTGACTGGGGATTTAGGACTGCCTGGAATGAACAGTTGCTCTGTGGGAGAAAGATGAGACTCTCTGCTCCCACAAAGTCTTACTGCCTGGGAAACTCTAAGGAGAAGTTCTACTCTGTCATATAGGGTGACTAGGTGTAACTTTCAAGTCATAGCAGATAGAGAAGGCTCTTGGGTGGCAGTGCAAATAAATATAAGGGATCTTGGCGTACATCTCGGGGAGAACAGAATTCTCACAATTTCTTTTTCAAAACTGTTTTACAGGGTTTGGAGAACATTGATTAAGGAAGCATAGCTGGTGAAAAACACCCAACTCAGCAATGCCCACCTACCCCCATTACAGATGCTCCTGCAATGTATTATACAGTGTGTTATGTAGAGCCTAATAAAAATAAAGTCACAAAGACTAAATACAAGTCTTCTGTACTTTGTTAAAATAGTACTGCACAAGATCAACCAATCTGCTCTCTGTAACTTGTATCATTTTGAAAAGCTAGAAGATAACTAACCTAGCTTGTAAAATTATACTAAACCAAGTGCCTACCACTGTCTCTAGCTACTAATTCTGCATGAATGCTGGCGGCTGCTATTGCTGTGGATGTTAACAAAAAATAACATTGTTTCTTCAGTGATTACAATCGGGCTGCTAACCTTCAAGGTCGGCAGTTAGAAACTACCAGCTCTTCCCTGGGAGAAAGATGAGGCGTTCTGCTCCCTTAAAGATTTGCAGCCTCGGAAACCCTGTGCAGGGTGGCTATGAGTCAGAACCCACTCCACGGTACTTAACAACAACAACTATTGCTCTGGATGTTAACAAACAATAACATTGTTTCTTCAATGATCACAGGAAGAATACAGGAAAATTAGCTTTGTTTCTTGTAGCTCCTTTTCTAAGTGAATCTCAATTTTTTTTTCAGTTAGGACACTCTTAAAACTGAGATTGCCCCTTCAGCTCTCCTGCATTGTTCTGTATGGTGTCTAACAGAAACCAACCCTTCCCAAACTCACTGCCATCGTGCCCGTTCCAACTCACAGCGACCCTCAGCAGGGTTCTGAGATTGTAAGTCTTTGCTGGAGTAGACAGCCTCACCTTTCTCCTGCAAAGCAGCTGGTTGTTTTAAACTATTGACTTTGTGAGTAGCAGCCCAATGCCTAACCCACAGCACCACCAGGCCTCCTTATCTAACACAATCGATGCTTCCTTATGTGGTGCTGTGAGATACTGGG